GATGATTTATTGGATTCTACATGTGATTTTGCTATGAAATGTGAGTGTTGATGCATTGCCTTGTGAAAATGCATACCTAGAGCTTGTTATTAGGGTTCATATATGCCATTGCTTGGCTATTCCTTTGATTCAAGTCATTTTGTTGTATTTGGTGAGATTTGGCATGTTTTGGACTTGAATTTGATCTTGGTGTTGAAAATCCCGGAAGGGATGTTTTGGTACAGAGGTTGTACCCGCGGGCGGAACGGCGGGTAGGCGTCCACCCGCCGCCCCACCCGCGGGGGAACGTTGGTTCTGGGAATGGTTCCCGCGGGCGGAACCACAGGTGGAGGTCCATCCGTGGCCCCACCCGCGGGTACATATATGGTGATGGGCGAGGATTTGTTCCCCGTGATTCTTTTGACTCGTTAATTGATGTTTTGACTTCCCGATGTTCTTTTGTTGGGCTTTTGAGTGTCTTCTTGATGTTTCGTATGTCTAGAACTATATGGTAGGATTCCATGTAGGTTTTTGGTGTCTTGAATCGTGCTAAGTGTTCAACCTTGTGATTCGTTGAACCGTGATGAGTCTTGTGTGTTCTTTGGAACTATGTTTGGTTTACCCGTTTGATAAGCATGCTAGTTCGGTGTTTAAATGCTAGCATGTGTGGTTTGTCCTTTCCTAATGTGGATGATTACTTGTGTTAATCATCGTTGTTGTCGGATTGTGATCCATTCCTTGATTGAGTATGGTTTCATATCTTCGTTGTGATCCGTTGATTGATTCCTATGATGTGTTGTGTGTGCGGTTGTACCTGGATTGCACGATTAATGGTATGGGACATTAGTCACCAAGGTACGGCAGTGGTCCTCGTGGTGGCCATGGCGTGATTATGGAGTTTGTGACCTGTGTGTCGGTTTCACGTATTTCTTGGGAGGCATGTGTTGCCATTTGTGTGATCGGTACCCTCGTGTACTATGAATTGGTGGAATTGTTGGCGGTCGTTGGCGGATGGGGACGACGGTCCTCGGAGGGATAAGGTTGGACTTGGCTGTACAGGGGTCCTGGAGGTATCGGTTGGAACTAGCTATAAGGTTGGGGGTAGCCATAAGGTTGGAACTGGGCATAAGGAAGGAATATTGTTGTGACATGTGTTGTCACGAAGGCATGTGTTGCCGTTGTGTATTTCTCTATTTGTGACATGTGTTGTCACAAAGGCAGGTGTTGCCAATGTGTGTGTCCTTATTCTCTTGTGTTATGCATGTCGGGTGATATTCTACTGAGTGATGGTATAATACGCCTTGAGCCGTTCTTGTGTGTCGTTGTCACTTCTTGTTGTCTTGGGATGTGTTCCCTTATCCTTGTTGTGAGAGTATTGAGTCTTGTGATTGACTTCTATCTTGGCTTTGAACTAATATATATATTGTATCTCGTTTCGCAAATGATTTTGTATATACACTATCTAGGTATGATACGTAACATGTATTGGTGGGTTACCAGCATCATTCGCTGATCGGGCGTCGTCCCATATATTTATGTGTTTCTTTCAAGTCCCGAGTAGAGGCGAATGCGATCTAGTGATGGATAGTGTAGATCCCTCAGACCTTGTAGTTTGTTTTGGCCTGTGTGCCTCCTATGTTGGATTTTAGACTTATGTATTGTTTGACCTTGTCCTTTGTAGAATGATTATGTTGGTGTTGTTTACGCCTGTGCGTTCACCTTAGTGTGGGCGTGGCATAACACTCTTCTTTTTCCATCTGTTATATAGTTAGACTTTCGCTGTGTATGCTTATATTGTGGTTAGATTATCTGCATGTTTAAGTTTAAAATGGTATGGAAATCGAGGGTGTTACAGCTAGAATTTATTTATTTTTAAACGAAGCAAATTAGTCCAAAGTCAAAACTAAGGGTTTGAACTATGAAATTTATTTGTTTTTTAAACGAAGCAAATTAGTCAAAATTAAGAGTTCATTTGGTTTGAAAGTCACATTCTTAGTAATAGTAATGAATTTAAGTAAAAAGAATGTTTTACTCACCTAAATATTCTTAGCTAAAAGTTATTTATTTTTAAATGAAGCAAATTAATCCAAACTAATAGTTCGTTTGGTTCAAACATTAGAATCGAAATGGTAATGAAAATCAAATAGTTGACAATTGTAATGAATTTAAGTATAAAGAATTTCTTTATTTGGTAAAAAAAAAATTGTAATTGTAATCAAAATAAATAAATATTAATTAATTATGTAAAATATTAAAGTTTCATATTTAACGTATGAACAATGAATTTTTTTTCTTCCTCATATTTTATTCAAGTGTCTAAAAGTATTAGAAAAAAAGAGTTAATTCCAACAATGGTCCTCCAACTATTGTGATTTTCTAAAATTTGTCCTCGTCTTTTAATTTGGACAAAAAAGACACTTGACTTTCAGATTTGTTCCAGCATTGGTCCTTCCGTTAACTGTCCATTTATTAGGTGTTAGTTTTGGGGCTAAAATAGTCATTTTATTAGCTTGCTTTGTTCTTCCTCATGTTCGTGAGTTTATGTATGTATTAGACTCATAGCAGCAAAACGAAAAATTATATTCCATTGTTTCTCACCGATTTGGCGGCGGCTTGCAAAAGAGGCGGTAAAGCTGCTGCGGCCTCGTCCAAGGCCGTAGCGGCAGAGACTGCCGCGAAGAACGGCAGTGCGAGCGTCAACAATTTGGCCAACGGAATTGGGGAGCTCCAGATATCCGATCGGACGTGTACGGGCATTTTGTGTTCAGATTGACGAGAATTGCCAATAAGAAAATGGTGACGTTTTTTATGTTAGATTCCGATTTTGTCTAATTGATTCTTTTTTACAATCTTTCATCATTTTGCATATTGCATAGTCTTTGTCCCTCACTTTCCATGGACATGAGCTTATATTAGTTGATTCTGAACTGGAGCTCAACTATGGAAGGTATGCTCGTAAATTCAAAATTTTCCAATTTACTAGAACTGTGGCATTTTAGCGTAGTTAATATAATTTTGAGAGTTTAGTACAGCAAATATTTAATTTTAGCATATTATCACTACAGGCATTGTGGTTTGGTTGGGCTGAATGGTTGTGGTGTAAATCCACTCTTCTTTCTACCATAGGATGTCGGGACCTTCCCATACTAGAGCATATGATATTTACCACCTTAGTCGTGAGATTGAAGCATCTGACATGTCTTCACTTGAGGCAGTCATAATAATAATAATAATAATTATTATTATTATTATTATTATTATTATTATTATTATATAAGAGCATCTTAATTTTTAATTACTTCTTCCCTTTAATTCATAGCAATTCTATTCCTATTTACCAAATAATGAAATTTGAATTTCATATTATCCTTTTCTCACATAATTACATCTTTTTTTTTTTAATCATCTAAGACTTCACTCCTAACCTTGATCAAGGGAGGGATGCTTAATGTAATAAAAATATATGGAGAGAATAGTATGTTACTCAAAATTAAATGTATCAAAAATTAAACTTTAATTATAAAATTGGAGAATTTTTATATGATTTTAGTGGAATAAGTCTTAGAGTTAATTCCAGCAATGGTCCTCCGACTATGTTGATTTTCCACAATTGATCCTCGACTTTTAATTTAGACAATTTAGACACTTGACTTTTGAATTCTTTTCAATATTGGTCCTTCCGTCAAATGGATGTTAAGTTGGTGTCAATTTGAGGGGTAAAAGTGTCTTTTCAATAAGTGTATATTTCTTCTCACTTCTCCCTTCTCCCTTCCTTTCACCACCAACTGCCCATCTGCCCATCTCCATCGTATCTCCACCGTCGGCGGCCGGGGCTCGGCCCAAGCTCCATCCAAACTATTGAGTTTAGCCAAGTCGTCCCTAAAGAAGCCTCACACTTTCTCATTCCTGCTCTCGCTTTTCCTTTCTCTGATCTGGGTTTCCCTCCGATTACATCCTCCAGTCATTTTCCACATAGAGGTAGATCGGATTCTGGATCTGAGTTGGGGCAACGTGCGGTTCTCTCCTTCTTAGCGTGATTCTCTGCTTCTTCTTCACCTATTGCCAAAGACAAGCGTGGATGGCTGCTGAATCCCATCTCGCTTGCCCTAGATGCTCATATTTCAGGTCTCTGCTTCTTCTTCTTTGTCATATTCAGCCTGCTTAGTTACCAAATTAAATAGGAATTCATTTTGAAGATGAAGAAGAAAGGTGTTTTCGTTCATGTTATTGTTCTTTCTAATGATTTCTCACTCCTGTGTCGCGACTTTGGATTTAATTACTTGAAGTGGTTGGGCACTTGTATCTAGAATGGTCCAGTTCTGCACACACTTGGCCACCAAAGGCGTCAAGATCACGCTCGTCCTCACAGAACGGGCAAGCAAATACCTTCAAATTAAACTCCGGCCAGCACCGCCTCCTTGATCGAGGTGGAGTTCATTCCCGACATCCTCCCCGAAGGCGTCGCCGAAGTTCCGTATAACACAGGGACGACCATCGCGCATCTTCGAGCAAGTTTTTTGGTGGGGGTTACCGCAAGTGATCGAGAAGCAAGAAGCGTCGGAGAGAACGCCGAAAGCGGTGTTGTATGATTCAATTGTGCCATGGACTCTGGAATTGGCGAAAGGATGTGGGTTACAGGCGCAACGCATTTTCCTTCCTGAATCATTAATTAATTATCACTCCCTTCAGCCGGAAAATTCGGCAACCGCCGTGGTCTTCTAACTATACAAGGAAGGGAAAAGGAAGAAGAAATATACACTTAGTATTTGAAAAGACACTTTTACCCCTCAAATTGACACCAACTTAACCTCCATTTGACGGAAGGACCAATATTGGAAAGAATTCAAAAGTCAAGTGTCTAAATTGTCCAAATTAAAAGTCGAGAACTAATTGTGGAAAATCAACATAGTCGGAGGACTATTGCTGGAATTAACTCATAAGTCTTACGTACTCTTTGAGGTAAAAACAAACAAACGAAAGAAAATTGAACATATAGATTGTAGTCCAACTTTTCTCAAACCGGATCCGTGGTGCAATGGTAGCGTATCTGACTCCAGATCAAAAGGTTGCGTGTTCAATTCACGTTGGGTTCAAATCCCCGATCTAATACTTTTTCCTATTAAATACGGAGTAATGTTTTCCACCCTAAAGCTTTCTTAGCTGAAATTTATTTGTTTTTTTAAACAAAGAAAATTATAGTTCAAAATAAGAGTATGTTTTCCACCCTAAGCTTTCTTAGCTGAAATTTATTTGTTTTTAAAACAAAGAAAATTAGTTCAAAATAAGAGTTTGTTTGGTTCAAACATTGGATTGAAGTGGTAATGAAAATCAAATACTTAGTCATGGTAAAGAGTTTAAATATAATATTTTCCCAACTTAAGTTTTTTTAGTTGAAATTTATTTATTTTTTAACGAAGTAAATTAGTCCAAATTAAGAGTTTGTTTGATTCAAACACTGAAATTGAAATAGTAATGAAAATCAAATATTTGGTAATTGTTATAAATATATTATTATGGTGGACATTATGGGCATTCAATACATAACTGTTATAACGGTCATCATTAGTATTGTCATTATTCTTTTGTAGATTATATATGCTTGTTGTAACATTGTATTGAATTGGTGTGTGCAATGGAATGACTCTCCTTGTCTCTTGTTCTACTTCTCTTTGTCTTGTACATTATGCGTTTATCTATATTGATCCAATCCTACAATTCACCGATTAGGAGCTAATGGCCAACAGGCACACAAACAACACAACAACATTACAACACGTTATCAGCATGCTCTTTAGGTGAACGGTATGTTTATTTTCTAAATTAACATTCATATTCGTTAAAATTGTCGTATTGCATATTTACATGATGGAATCCTGTTGATATGGAATCTATATGCTTTACTATTCTCAGAAATATACATGCAATTTGTATTGGTAAATTTTTGAATGTTGGTATCTGCAAGCTGTTATATAAATTCTTTCCGTATGCTTTCAGTACATAATTTACACATTATGAAATTATTGTGTCTGAGAAAATTCGAAATATACACAAAAAATTTTCTGAAAAATAATTTTTTTTTCCTGAGAAAGCAATAGGTCAAGCTGTTAACTTTTTGGCCTTAGACGAAAATTTTACGAAATATTTTTCAGATTATATAACAAAAATTCGATATTGATAATCTTTTGATTCCACAAAACAAGGATTTTTTTCTAAAAATATTATCCTATGTTTTCAACTGGATTATGAAAAAAAAAAATCGGAACCTGTGTTCCTTTTCTTCTTTTTCCTTCGATCCACCCGACGTCGACGCCGGATCTGCTCCGTCGATTGTGTGCGGTCGCGCTGCGTTTGACGAAGGCGGAAGGGCGATCGACGATGGGAATTGCGTGCGTCGATTATGCGTTTTTTTAGTATTGTTTTCATCAATCTCCTATTAATGAGCAAATCAAATTCTCAAATTATTATTTGAAATTTATGTACCCGAATAAATGGGAAATCACCCACGATGGTTTTGACTTTTGAGTAGAAGGATTTACCCTAGCTCTATTAATTGGACCCGGATTTGGACCTTTTAGCCCAGATCGAAATATTATAAATGGGTCATTGGTTTTTTTGGGCTTAAAATCAGATCTTATTAAAAGGATTATGGGCTTCCTTTAAATTTTTTTAAATGTATATAGTTTTTCATGACATCAAATACCTTGATCCACATGAACTCAGAAGAGTGATAAAATATTTGTTCAGAAGGTTTGCTCCAGTGACAAGTTAGCAAATGTATACCTACAAAAAAATATCCATAAGATTGATACGTGTAGGTAAAGAAAAATTAGTATATTTAGGGGGAGCAACAAAATATAAACTATAAATAATTTTATTGGTCTAGATGATCATGAGAAAATATGATAAATTCTAATGACAATCCTGAAGATTGTACCATATCCCTTCTCTACACCCTTTAGAAACAATGATTTTACAGGTAATATAGAATTTGAAGATTGTTATCTTCAGGGGGAGATAGGAAGTACATTCACTCGAGTCAATCATGTAGATTGGGTCTTAAAAAGACTAATAGTTATACTTTTTGCAGCATATGCATGCCATGTGGTTTTTTAACGAGGTATGAGTATGATATATTAATGGGGGAGTTGTATATAAATACTTAAATAAACAAATCCCAAATATCCTGAAGATTATGCCTTGAAGGCTTATGGTTGTGCTCTTTTTCCCCTTAACTAAATTTTTCCCACGAGGTTTTCTTAAGTTAAGGTTTTTAACGAGGCAATCAGAACAATATATGAGTTTACAAATATCATGTACTCTTTTCTTCAAATAGGTTTTTCCCACGTGATTTTCCTAGTGAAGTTTTTAACGAGGCATGAAGGTATTCAAATGTATAATATCCATAGACCTTGTACTCTTTTCTTGTCTAGGTTTTTCCCACTGGGTTTTTCTAGCAAGTTTTTAATGAGGCAAGGTCGTTGATAAATAATGTCCAAGGGAGAGTGTTATAAATATATTATTATGGTGGACATTATGGGCATTCAATACATAACTGTTATAACGGTCATCATTAGTATTGTCATTATTCTTTTGTAGATTATATATGCTTGTTGTAACATTGTATTGAATTGGTGTGTGCAATGGAATGACTCTCCTTGTCTCTTGTTCTACTTCTCTTTGTCTTGTACATTATGCGTTTATCTATATTGATCCAATCCTACAATTCATAGATTAGGAGCTAATGGCCAACAGGCACACAAACAACACAACAACATTACAACAGTAATGAAATTAAGTATAATGTTTTCCCAACTTAAGCTTTCTTAGCTTAAATAAATTTATTTATTTTTAAATGAAGCAAATTAGTCCAAACTAAAGGTTCGTTTGGAATCGAAATGGTATTAAAAATCAAATACTTAACAATAATAATGAATTTGTAGAAAGAATCTCATTGTTTGATACCAGTAATAAATAGAAATTGGAATCAAAATCAAAATAAATAATACTGGATTTTAAGTGATCAAGATATCAAAAGAGAGACTCCCTCAAATCACCTTAATTATGAATTAACTAAAAGTTAATATAACTATTATGGTCATGAGACTAGTGATAAAAAATTATATAAAAAAAAATGGACGCTATGAAAAAACTACTCCACAAAAAAAGGATTTCCTTTTCATTAAACCTCGTTTATTTACAATAAATAATGCCCTCTTTGTACCCTACAAAAATTTGTAACCATAACATATTTTTATCCCCTTGTATCTTTTACCCCGTACATCTATTAGTACACTGTAGTATCTAGCCTTAAAAAAACCTTGTTTAAACAAATACATGGTTCTGCTATTTGGTGCTTCCCATCAATAGCCTCTTTCTTTCTTTATGCATCAGTCTTGACGACTTCTGTGACTGTAGCATTGCAGAAGAAGCATCTATCGCAATTCAGCAGGTGCCTGGTAATGCAGCCATAGCAAGAAACGTGGGAACATGGCACAAACCGCGTGTTTGCTTCACTTGCATAGCAGATGCAGCATACACTATCTTCGTAACCGGCATCTCCCTCGTATCCCTTCTTCTCAGCATCATGCAAATCGGATTGACATATCAGCAGCATCGAAAACTTCTCTAGCTGCCGGAGTTTTGGAATGTAATCGTCCCCCCTGAATATGCTAGCCTGAAACCATGTCAAAAGCAGTAGCAGATTAGGAATAAGTAAAGCCAACATATAGAAGCCAGCCCCTTACTGATTTATAGCTATGGAGTTGAATCTCGCAGTTCATAGGACTCGGTCAAGCAATGGGAAATGGTACTCGTGTAAGAATTCTTGAGGTTCTCTCTCATGAATGCTAGAAACTACAATACCAAATGCAGCCTAGAAAGATCCAGTCTTAGGCAGAGGAAAATTCTTTTACACAATTACAACGAATCATGTATGAGTGAACTGTAATTATCTGACATTAGGTCATGCATTTAGCTAATATCACCTATCTCAAAGAAATTCATCCAAGGCTGTAGTTAGCCCAAGGGATTCCTACCACTTCCATTATTTTACTTTGGCTTCAAATGGAAAATGACATTGTTGCAAATGATACTACCAAGGTGATTAGAACTGACTAAAAGCAATAATTTCATCTGTGATATCTGCCACGTTCCTTTCTGTTTCCCAGATTCAAATCAGGAGAAATATGTTTAAAGGCATATTTTAGAATAAATTCAGTTCATACACAAGAAATGTGAGCAGAAACTAACCCAGTTGTAGTCTAACAGTGACTGAAATCCACATATCACAGTATCAAGGCAGTGCATGTTGGCAAATATTGTAACAATATCATTCTGCACCTCAGTCATCTGCTTGTTAGCATCAAGCAAATTTAGAATAATTCCAGCTAGAGGTGCTAATATCATGCCTTTGTACACTTTTTCCGGGGACTGACCAGGCCGCCGCAAGGAGCTGCAAGATACCAGATAATTCTGAGAGTAAAGTTGAAGAAAAACAACAGCAGCAAGCTTCAGGCTTTGACTAAAAACGCTGGATCAACTACAATTCTGTTAATTCTCTTAAATGAATGTATGAGGCTGACAAGATCACTTCTAAAATTAGTAAGCTTCAACAGTTTCTCAAAAATATCTTATAAGACCTGAAAGGTAATAATAATATAAAGGGCACTACTTATGAGGGCCACTGAGATTGCAAAAGTAAAGGCTTACAAAATTATCAAAAACTGAAAATACCAATTTCTGGAATGTTTACTGGGCATTAAGATAGATGGTTTTTCTTTCCTCAAAAAAAAAAAATGGTTTTTCTCAACTCGAGACCAGATCATCTTATGCCTAGTTTGAATTAGAAACACATATGGTTATGATTGTGACTAATGAATTCAGGAAGACTTTCTATTTGGATTCCGAAACTTACAGGTCAAAGAGATCTGGATCCGCTGCAGTAATTAAGTGATTTAGTATAAAGATGAACACTTCAGTAAGCCTTCGCAAGTTTGTATCAGCACCTAGTAAAAAAGCTTGAGGCATCTCAAGTGTACAAAACTCTAGTAACCTTGCAAGATTGCAGGACAGATCAAATATGATACCACATTTTCTCTGTTGAAACTCCAATACCTGAAACACAAACAACAAAAAAAAGTTACTCTATATTTGAAGATATGAGGGGATTAAAATGGCTAACAAAGCTCCAATAATCAAATTACACTTCACTTTAGTTTCATTTTCGGGCATTTACTATGGATGTTAATTTCATTCCTGGACAGCCAACTTACTTTAAGAATCACCTACCGCCTATTATTATATACATTTGTGTACACTAGAACCTATCTCTGATAGTCTTATTGCAAACCCAATTGGTATTTCATGAACTGCTTACCAATCTTGGTGTGCCTTGATGAATATTATCTGAAAATGAATATTACATGATGAATATCAAGTTCAAAGAATGAAAATTTACTTCATAATCATGGTGAATATGCATCACCATCAAAGTGAGCATTCATATAATAGCAATAAGTATTAATCAAATCCATGAAGAACATCTTCTGTAGGTGCACCAAGCATGGTGTGCCAGTGTTCACAATATAATTTGTGGTTGCCAAACAACTTGGTTGAATGATATTAAATGCATCATCAATAAGTAAAAGAACTACCATGAGTAAAATACTCCAACAAAACCTGTACAATTTCATACATGGAAGAAAGGTACCTTGTAAGTTTCTTGCATTTCTCGAATTGAAACAGAGAATTCAGTCATTGTCCAGCTCAGGGTGTTGAACAGACGATTTAGAAAAGCTGAAAATAGTTCTTTGTTGTGCGTGCAAGCCTCCCACAGCAATTTCTTAAAGAAATTGGATTATCAAAAAAAAAAAAAAAAAAAAAAAAAAAGCAAAACAAAATCATATTTAGGGTTTAAGAGTTGGACAAAGAGATAGAATCTCCTGAAAACAATAAAACTCATAAATTCACCTGAAATATGATTGATGACGACGATGATGACGACTCTCCGTGCTTTGAAGAGCCAAAACCAGAACCCTTACATAACCGCAGAAGAATATTTGTGACTGGGATCCAAGATCTATTATCAAATGCAGATAATAATGCTGTTGGCAACCTTTGCATAACCATTTCATTGGATTCAAAAGAAGCTAAAAATTCCCTGTATTGTACAAGGACAGAAATAGATTGAAGAAGAAGATCCCTTAGTTCTGCACTAGATATCCTTGGATCATTGAAGTGGGTTACAACAAAAGGGACCTGGAAAAGAAGATTACAAAGAGTTACTCTTTGTCTTTTTTTTTCTCAATATTACTAGCACACCAAAAAGTTCGACAAATCACAAACACTCATAAATATGGTGAACCAAATAATCTTAATTAATATATTCTGAAAATATCAACAAAAATGGCATGTTGTTAGCATGCTACAAACAACTACAAGAACACTAATAATCATGTTAAGAACTTCAATCTTTTCTAAGAATCAAATAAGTGAATAACAGATGAAAAATTTCTGTTCTCATGAAAAATATTTTGTGCAATTATTGGCAATGCAATTACATTTTGTAATATGTTTATCCAATATGGAAATGCTTCCTTTTTTATTTCTGTTATCCCAACAATGCTGGTTGGTCGTCTAATTAAAAAGTATAATAGTCTTTAGTCAGGCAGGTTGTTGTATGGTGAAAAATGCAATCATATCCTTGTATCAGTACTTGAAGAATAAATATAGATCATATTGCTATTGTATAGACAGTTTCAGGTCAATATATCCATCTTTTTCAGTCCACCCTGACCTCATTGCAAACTCAAAACAGACAATAAACAAGTGAAGGGGCTGAATGAGAGAGAGTGAGGGGAGGCTGAAACATACAAATGATTCAAGTCCTTGCTTGATGAAAATTGTAGGATGGGCAAAAGGAGGATCACTCTTTCGAAGCACATGAAAGCAATCAACCTGTTTCAATGGAGAAGGAAATAGGGGAGTTAGCAATCAGCAGTGTTATAATAATCAAGTGCATTGGGAAGCAGGATTTTGGATTCAATACCAGAGTTTCCAAATAATATTCAGGAACATAGATAAAGATTGAATCAACTTTGCTAAGAATAAAAAGCAGTTGAACAATCCACATGCATGCTGCATACATTCCCCTTTGCTTCCACTGAGAAAACAGGGAAATGCGGTACCTGTAAGATGATAAATATCTAATCAAATTTTCATAAGAGGTTAGCCAAATGCTAAATACAGAAGCAGTCAAACAACCAACTGTTCCAGCACTTCTATGGTTTTTTGGTAAAACACCAAACACTCAAACAAATTAGTAATGTCTAAAATGAAGATTTTTAACACCAGATATTTTGTAAATAATTTAAACAAACAGATAATTCACGCTTTGAGATGAAAAATCAAGATCTTCAGCATGAAGCCTTTGGTAAGCATGTAGGCAGAATGGGCAGAGGATAGACTGTGCAAGCACGGAACAGAAATTAATACACCCTCTATCCCATTTTGTAACAGAAATTAATACACCCTCTATCCCATTTTGTAACAGAAATTAATACACCCTCTATCCCATTTTGTCTGTCCTGTTTACTATTCATTAGTCAAACCAACTCTTTCTTTATTGCTTAATTTCTTTAGTAATTTTTATTTATTTTTAAATTTAATTTTTTGTTTTTAATAGTACTTTTAATGTAGTTTGTAAATATATAAATTTTATATACTAATACTAAACTTAATATTATGAAAATTTCAATTAAAAAAACTTCAGTCAAGTCTCGTTAACCGAACTAGACAAACAAAATGGGACGGAGGGAGTATATGAATAGGTTAATTTAAGGGTTTGGGAAGGCAGGTTGGGCAAAAAACCAGGCAAGTGTCAATATATCACATCATAAGGCAAATGTCAACCAACTAAATGAGAGCAAATACAATAAGAATATTTTATTACCAATAACAATGTCTGACACACTCCATTACTTCTTCTCTATAGACACTGCGAGCCTCCTTCAAGCGCTTCACTTGCTCCCCACATGCTCTTTCTCTGATTTGTTTGTCAGTTTCTTCAAGTGAAGAGATTGACTGTGACTGTCGAGACATGTATGATGATGCCTGAACAAGCATGGGTCATTGGTTAAGAGGGTATGGACCTCAATGATGGAGGTAAACAACAAGGCAAATAAGAATGTTGAAAGAACAAAAGCAACTATTCAATGTTGACAACACAAATTTTAACAAAGAAACTAGGAATTAGCATTATAATTTTCATTGTTTATTTCATTTAGATACTACCCAGGGCTTTGATAGCTCATACAAATAAGGCCCATGCCATGACCCCAATAATGTTTGTGGTATGCCCATCAAAAAAGTATTTGCTAAAAGCCATGACCCCAATTATGATTCTGATTCCAATGTTTGAACTAAAAGCCTCCTAAGTACCCATAATTTAATTAAGAAAACAATTGTGCTTCAAGTTCAGATTACACAGATTTTAAAAAGGTTTTCATTTGCCTCAATTGCACAGTTTCAACTTCAGCATATCATTAGAGAATGAATAGAGCTAAATCAGTAAATCACACATTTTTGAGTAAAGGTGATTGAGATACCTGCTTAAAGTTTGGTGCAAGGCCCAAATGATACAACAGCAGCATGGCATCTAAAAGCTCCTCTTCCTTGAGTGTTGTTGAGGACAAATTGTTCTCCCTGGACACAATCTTCATCTGCTGCACAGGCCGAAAACCAAACTCTGACACAGGCTGGTCACTTGTACTAGGTTTGTCTGCTACGTCATCATTCAGACTTCCAGCACTACATTCTGCAGCAAGATGAGAAGATCTTTCTGGAATCGAGCTGCAGTGGGGTCCACGGGAACCTTTTGGAACATGTCTGACTGGGTCCTTTGAGCTTCTTGGAAAATCAGTAACAAAAGTGGAACAACAACAAGGCTTATTCTTACTTAGATGTGTCACTCTAGCTTCTTCATCATCTGTACACCCTTCTTCCCACCGAACAACTTCATCTTGGTCTCCATTAATGGGGTGGGATTTTGTTAGGTGAACATATGAACCTCCAAGCCTGGGAATGTCAACTCGATGAGGATCATTTTTCAGAAACAAGCCTACAGGAAAACTTTGTTGACCACCTTTGTGAAGATAGCCAACACCAGTATCTCCACAGCCCTTCATCCAGCCACATATATCCCCTATGGCAAACCCTTCAGATAAAAAATGGAGTATGACCGTAAACAGAGAGACAAGTACAGAGTTGCTTGAAACACCCGTTGGTGGCAAATTACGGTTAGCACCCCTGTTCTTTAGTAAAAGGTTCTGTAAAAATGTCCTAAAGACTGAGCCAGGTAACTGAGGAGGTGATGTAGGTGGTATGAATTGCATGACCAGGCAGCAGAGATCCCTTTGCTTCTCTTCAACCTGGAGAAGGTTCACATTATCTTTGGTATTGGATAGACCATTAATTAGTATTAAATAATCATGAACCTTTAAATTCTACTTAAAAGGAGGGGGAAAAAAAAAAAAAAATAATAATAATAATAATAAAATTAAAATTAAAAAAATAAAAAATAAACTGATTTACAATTTATTAAGCTACAGTATCAGATTTATGTAAAACAGGATGAATAACTGTGTGCAAATAATTTAGTGCCAGAATATATACAATTTCCTTAAAGCAACAGCCTACACAGAGGCAAGCACACAAAATGAAAATTCAAAAGTGCCAATAGATCCATTATGTTAGTGTGCAAAGTTACAAAGTCATAGCAAACAAAAATATTGAAAAAAGACGCATCATTCAAGCCTACACAGCATAGAAACAAAGGCTGGATTTGCTAGGAATTTTACATGAGAGAGATATATGTAAGCACATAAATGAGAAAGTCAAATTAAAGATTATGCAAGAACCTATTAAAGTATAGATTGTCATTTGATGATTAATTAATTTAAATTATCCAAAAAGTCAAAAACCTAGAGAGGCATAGGTTTCATTTGTATAGGCAATAAAAATTTCACATATTCATTCGTGAGACTATGAGAGGCATTGACCTTAACTATAAAGCATTGATTAAAGGTACCATCATGTGTATATTTTAAAATTACAGTAAGCAGTATGTTCACGGGCAAACAGGCAATAAAGCTCAGTAAAACACCTTATCCCCTGGAAGAGATTCAATCGGTTGCCAATTGGAATCTGCTGCAGTTGAATTATGAGTGGGCAACAACCAACCGTTAGCCAAAGTCTTTTGTCATATCACTTTGTTATTTTCTCCAGAACATTATTTATGGCAAGAAAGAAAAAAAAAAAAAAAAAAAAAACTGAAGCTAGGGCAGCCAAATTCTTTGGTCTTGTCACTTTGTTATTTTCTCCAGAACATTATTTATGGCACAAAAAAAATTAAAAAAATAAATAAATAAAAACCCTGAAGCTAGGGCAACCATTTAAGCAACATAACAAAGCAAGAGAATTCTTTATATATTCCAAGTATAAACTTTCCCAATATCAAGTAGGTAGAAAGGATGATATAGAAGTTAGTAAGTAATACAGAGGCTAACAGTCTGACCAGTTAAGTTGTGAATAAAACCATCTGTTAAAAAGCAGTTTCTATCAGAAACTAGAACTCTGTAATTCAAATGAAAAGAATTACAGCCATGATAATAAGATACAAAATACAGGGTACTCTAAATCAGAAGGGGGCAGTAGGAAAACATATATGTGTCTATAAAAATTAATTACATGCATTTAGAGCCTACCTTTTTGACTGCTTCAGATAAAGCTTTAGTTGTCAGCATCAAGCTAGCCTCACAGGACATGTCCTCACATGAACCAGCCCACCACACAGAAGGAATCAAACCCTGGAGGTCCTGCTTGTTAGGACCCTTCTGTGATAGGAAACCTTCAAACAAGAGTTCAAAGTCTGAAGACTTCCACCATAAAATCATCAATTCTTCCCGCCTTAAAATGTGGCATGCCAATGCAAGATAGGTATATGATCCTGAATACGGACACTCTGTAAGGGACAATTGTGCTGTTTTGCAGAAGGATGAAAGAGCATCTATAATGTGTTCAAATAACAGTCTTGATTCTGGGAAATCTAGCAAGGAGTCAAGCAATCTGTCCAAACTAGTATAGTCATGTGGTGGCTGCATCCTAAAGATTTCTATCATTAATGATAAAAGTGGGCCCCAAGCTACATACTTTGCACTCCCAGCTTCAGCACCAAGTGATAAGAATAACTCTTCACATAATCCCCGGAAGACAGGCGGAGAAAGTTCTTCAAATGGCGCAAACCTTTTCAATCGCAATTTCTCAACAGATCCATATTCAGCTCTTTCCATGCGATGTGTCTCAACTAGCCTTGCAAAGCAATTAAGTAAATGGGTAGAAAGAGTCTTTGTGGAGGGGGGTGCCTGAATAGGCAAGAATCCTTTAACAGGATATTTAAAAGGGACAGCTCCAAAATTCAGCTCACACCGTTCACCTTGAGAAAGAGAAATTGCTGGATAATAGCCCAATCCAGGAGCCATTTTTCTAATTCCACTAAATGCCACACCAAGTGAAACACCATTTCTATAGAATGATATATAGTCACAGTCCAAATCTACGCAACACCCAATTACATCACCAACAACCCATGGCTGACCATAAGATTGGCCTTCTTTATTCCATTTACTAACCCGTTTCCCATCATAAGCATAAGAATCATCATAATCCCCAACACCCGTGTGGTCAGTAAATGGATGAGAAAGAGTAGTCCACCCTAACTGTTGAATACCACAAGTTTCAAGTGTTACTTCATACATCCATTTTCCTTTCCAGACTGAGGCATTGGCCCTCACACTACTGAACACGGAATGACTCTCCACAAGCAAAGGTGGTTTAACTATTCGAATGTCACCAAATATGCTTGATTCTTCTATTCTTACAGTGTGAGATTGGGAGTTGTCACCAACAGTCAAAACTCCATCCCAGCAGCCTTCATTTTCAGTCTTCAGGTCTAAATGATATTTTAAAAACTCATTTTTTATTATTGAACGAACAACTGTAATATCCACTGAGCAAGAGAGAGGTTTAACAGTTTTATATGGGAGATCAAATATGTGTTCAAGAGTTCTTTCAACTGACTGATGACCAAAATCATTACAACATGAGACAAGTCGATTTCTCTGAGAACTATCTTTCCTGCCCTCACTGTTCAATACCACTGCTAAGCCAGAAGAAAGACCACCAATCCTCAGGCTGTCTTCTGCCATTAGCAAACAATGGAAGTCCCTACGGCCACAAATTAGAATAACTGCCCAACTGAAATCCAAACTACATGCCCTACTCCATAAGACTTTAGAAGTATTAGTCAAATAAAAAACCAGCAGTAGATCATTCCTGTGCCCTGAAATTTTGGAATTTGATCAGTTGAGCTAAATCTTCAAACAGCTCATCATAGAACATAAAAGTAGCAATAAATAAATAAAAATAAAAATAAAAATAAAACGGAGATGAAAAGAAGCCATTCATGTCCCAGAATCACCGTTCTATTTCGTCCTCTGGCGTTTTCTATAATCAAATTGACCCGCAAAACTCAAACTAGCAACAAATATTGTCTTCCCGCAAAATCGAATTTTAACCTCTAAATTCGTTTAACCAAACCAATATTCCAAATTATTTTCCAAGATCCTCCCGTAATTCTCCCTCCATACTTGAAGCAGGAAAACAATCATTCAACATCTCTTCAAAATTTCATTTCCCTCCTCTCAGGAACGAAACTAAAAATCACAACCAACTACATAGACTTCTTTAACAATTTAAAAATATATACATATAAATATATTTATACATACACACACTCCTCTCATATAAATAAATACAGACGCTCAAATAAGTCAAATGAATTCGTCAGGTACTTACAGCTGTAATAAGATATATGGAGAGATATATAGACAGAGGTGCAGGCCTTCTACGCTGTTGGTCGGCGTGATGGCAACGGCGGCTGGAAAGTAGTAGGGTTGTTCGCAGACGCCATTGATATGAGTTTAGAGATAGAAAGAGCGTAGCGTCTTAGAGAGAGAGAAAGGGGAAATGAAGAATTTGGATTTGATTTTTTTATTGTTCTTCTTTATGTTTTTTTTTTTTCTTTTAATTTTCACTTTCAGTTCGTTTTTTGGGTTCGCGAGAATTTTGGAAGTGTGGGAACAAATGCAAAAAGCCAAACCAAACGCATGGAAACCTTACGCACATCACACCGCTCTGTCCCTGGTGGAGAATTTCTCAGTGCCAAATTTTTTTTTTTTTTTTTTAAATCTTATAGAGCGTTTGGTTGAAAGAAGAAAAAAATGTTTATTCGGTGAAAAATAAATAAAGTGAAAATAAAATAGGAATTCAAATTATATTATTTAATAAGAAAGAATAAAATTATTGAGAATGAAAAAAAAAAAGTGATATAAAAACTAAAATGCTTTTGTGTAATCTTTTATATAATAAAGCAATATGGTTTGTAAAATAATTAATGTTACAATTAATGCCACAACATCCTTTATAAAAAAAAAAAAAAAAAAAGAAGCACAACATTTAAAAAATAAAATAGTTATATATTATATAATCAAAAAATATACTTTTGAAAAATAAAATAGCTATATATTATATAATCATATAAAAAATGTGTTCAATTAGAGTTTAAATTTACACATACAAAATTTGAAATTTGCTTTCCAAATGTAATTATCTTAGTATTCGTATTGTGAAAATTATAATACAGATGAAATACAATTAAGAATAAATCAATGTAATTATGTAACTTTTCTCTATAAGTTTATTTTTTTTTTTTTTTTGAAAATCTCTATAAGTTTATTTGAATATGCACATAATTAGAGATTATATTAACCATACAAAATTATAATTATAATTTTAATATTAATTTTAATATTAATTGTAATTTTGTATTCTATAAAAATAATAAATACTTGACCAATGGAAGCTCAAAAATATTATTATATTAAATAATTTAAAATATTTTAGTTTTTCTATTTTTTATTTATATTTATAATAACATAATTTTTTTTCCGTGCATCGCGCGGGTGAATTACTAGTAATAATAATAATAATAATAATAATAATAATAATAATAATAATAATAATAATGCACAAGTGTCAAATAGGCCCATCTACTACTGCGAAGTGCTCAATTTCCACCACGAATTAAATTAAGTGTCAAATAGGTCCATCTACGAGTTAAATTTGTTCAATTAACTTTTTTTACAGGTTAATAATAGGTTACCTATTTAATTATTAAATTAAATTAAATTAAATTAAAAAAAAAAAAAAGAATACAGCCACCGGCTGTCCTCGCCGGACAGCCGGTGTCTTTGAAATGGCCGCCACCGGCTGTCCGGCGAGGACCGCCGGTGGCTGTATTCTTTTTTTTTTTAATAATTTTTAAATTATTTTTTTAATAATTGAATTGGTAACCTGCAAAAAAAAAATCAATTACCTGCAAAAAAAGCTAATTGAACAAATTTAGTAGGTAAGTGTGGTTAATTAGCCTCTAATTTAGTTCATGGAGGGAATTGAGCACTTGACAATAGTACATGAGCCTATTTGACACTTCTCCCTAATAATAATAATAATAATAATAATAATAATAATAATAATAATAATAATAATAATAATAATAATAATAATAATAATAATAACAATAATAATAATAACAATAATAATAATAATAATAACAATAATAATAATAATAATAATAATAATAATAATAATAATAATCTACTATCTACTATATCTACTATATATCTACTATACATATATATATATATATATATATATATATATATATATATACTATCTACTATCTACTATCTACTATACTAATAAGAGCCCAAGAGAGTTAGGCCTATAATGGGTAGAAAAAATGACGGTCACAGATTTTAATCAAATGAATGGCTCAGATTGATTAAAAAATTGATCAGATTTAAATTTTACACTCAAATTTCTTAAAATACCCACACACCGTTACTAATTCCGTTAAAATTTTAAGAATTGTCGTTAGTTCACCGTTAACTTACTCATTGATTTCAATAAAAAAAAAAAAAAAAAAAAAAAAAAAAAAAAAAGTCTTAGGTTCAAACCTCATCTCAATCAAAGTTGGCATAATTAGTACTCTATTTTACTCTTATTAAATTATATAAATAATAATTTAGTAGTTACAACAAAAAATAATACATATGCATTTCTTTAATTTAGAATTATGTGTCCACAATGCCTTTATTCAAAAAAAAAATATTCATTATCAATAAATTAAATAAGAGAAATAATTTTATTAGTTATATTGTCTTTATTTTTCTTCAATATAAAAATTCTTTATATTCAAATTTATTAATTGATTATATTCGCTACATTGTCCTTACAATGTCTTTATTCAGTGAAAAAAATTATTAATTATCAATAAATTAATTAAAAGAAATATTTTCATTAGTTATATTGTCTTTATTTTTCTCAAATGTAAAAATTTTTACATTCAAATTCATCAATTGATTATATTCACTACATTATCTATTATCTTTTTTTGTGCACTATTTTTCTAATTAAATATCAAAGTTATAATACAAAATAATGCTATATATTTATTTACCAAGTATTTTATTAATACCATGAAAAAATTAAAAAAATATAATTAATAAAGCCAACCATATTAACTACTTGAGAGATTTTGTGACAAAGAGAGTATTCAAATCACATAGCAAATTGAAGTGAGAACTACCTCGCAATGTCCTTGTTTGACAATCAACGGTTAGCGTTAGCGGATTATACTAGCGGATTTGACCAGCGAATTTATTCAATTATTAACATTGGGTAGAAAAAATGACCGCCAAATTATTAAATCAAATGAATGGTTCATATTGTTCAGGTTTTAATTTTTTTCTTTTAAGATTTTCTAATTTATCCTTAATTATATGATTATCCATTTATCTTTTCCGTTAATTCACCGTTAGTCTAATTCTAATATTAAAGTCTAATATAGAATTATAACTACACCATTAATCTAATTCTAATATTAAAGTCTTAATAGAACTTAACCACAAATCCTAATGTCGAAATCTCCTCAAACAATATTAGTATATATTTAATATTTTATGCCCTAATTTTTATTTGTTCTCCCTTATGTCCCGTATTTGGTTTCAACTATACCTATACAATTATTTTATTGACAATTATAATCAATCTTGACTATATTATCTTGCATTTGTAAACTTAGAATTACCTATTTAACTCGCACGGGCTTAGCTCAATGGTTTAGTGGGTAGTATTTGGGAGAAGAGACCAAGGTTTGAACCTCGGCGGCGGCAGTGCGGGAATTATGTCCAAAGTGGGCAGATTCCTTGTGCGTATCAGCATTTGGCCCTGTCTGCTGAACCATTAAGTCACCGTGATTTACAACTTCCCACAATGCTCTGTCGGGTCGGAGTGTGGGGGGCCCTTGGGGTTGGGACTCAACCTTTGGGAGAAGAATTACCTATTTAAATACGCAAATTCAACCTTCAATTATCTATGCATGAACAATTTCAATATAATCATGCCTTAATATACTTTAAAGTACTTTAAAGTACTTATTTAACAAAAAAGCATTGAGCATTATCCCAATCGCGCAATGCGCGTAAAAAACTAGTATACTAATAAGAGCCCAAGAGAGTTAGGCCTATAATGGGTAGAAAAAATGGCGGTCAAATTTTTTAATCAAATGAATGGCTCAGATTGATCAGATTTTAATTTTTTCTTAAGATTTCCTAATTTATCCTTAATGAATGTGATTTTCTGTTAACTTTTCCGTTAAATATTATCTTTTCTGTTAATTTCTGTTAGTTCACCGTTAACTTACTCATTGATTTTAATAAGAATTTAAAGGTCTTAGGTTCGAACCTCATCCTAATCAAAGTTGACATAATTAGTACTCTATTTTACTCTTATTAAATTAATTAAAAATAATAATTTAGTAGCTAAAACAAAAAACAATACATATTATTTTTTAATTTAGAATTATGTGTCTACAATGCCTTTATTCAAAAAAAATTATTCATTATCAATAAATTAAATAAGAGAAATAACCAGGACTATGTGGTCTAATGGTACCCGGGTTGGACTTCCATTTGGAAGATTATGAGTTCAGGCCTCAGTGGAGGCGTTATTGGTTCTTTGTGTTTCAGTAGGTTGAGAAAGTATATGAACAGATACGACAATGTAATAGAACCAGTAACTTTCAAAAAAAAAATAAGAGAAATAATTTCATTAGTTATATTGTATTTATTTTTCTCTTATATAAAAATTCTTTATATTCAAATTCATCAATTGATTATATTTGCTACATTGTCCCTACAATGTCTTTATTAAAAAAATAATTCATTATTAATAAATTAATTAAGAGAAATAATTTTATTAGTTATATTGTCTTTATATTTCTCCAATGTAAAAATTCTTTACATTCAAATTCACCAATTGATTATATTCACACATTGTCTATTACCTTTTTTTGTGCACTATTTTTTTAATTAAATATCAAAGTTATAATACAAAATAATGCTATATATTTATTTATCAAGTATTTTATTAATACCATGAAAAAATTAAAAAAATATAATTAATAAAGCTAATCATATTAATTACTTGAAGGATTTGTTGACAAAGAGACTATTCAAATCACACAACAAATTGAAGTGAGAACAACTTTGCAATATCCTTGTTTGACAATCAGCAGTTAGCGGTTAGCGTTAGCGGATTATATTAGCGAATTTGACCAGCGAATTATATCAATGGTTGGTAAAAAGATATTTGAAAAAATTAGTTATTTAGATTAACATGTAAAATGACCTAAGGGTATGATGATATAATAATAATAATAATAATAATAATAATAATAATAATAATAATAATAATAATAATAATAATAATAATAATAATAATAATAATAATAGTAATTGTTTTAAAAAAATAAAAAAGTAAAAATATAATTAAGTCAATCATATTAACTACTTGGGAGATTTATTGACAAAAAGAGTATTCAAATCACACAACAAATTGAAGTCGGAAACTATCTCGCAATGTCCTTGTTTGACAATCAGTAGTTAGCTCTTCAATATTAGTATATACGGAGTATTTAATAATTTATGCCCTAATTTTTATTTTCTCTCCCTTAGAGCATCCACATTAGTTGGGAAGAATATGAGGATAATGTAAGAGTGATTAGGAGAGAGAATGTGGGGAAGGGGGGAAAAAAAAACCAAAATAAAAAAACAAACGCAAAAAAAAAAAAAAAAAAAAAAAAAAAAAAAAAAAAAAAAAAAAAAACTGTCAGGCGCACCGTTCGGCGCGCCTGACCAGCCCCTTTTTCTTTTCTTTCTTTTTCTTCTTTTTATGCCATTATCCTTGAATTTGCAGGATGAATATTTCCACAAATAAACCCACCCCACATTTGTTATTATCCCCATTGAGAAGAATTCATTCTGAAATCTCTCCATAATATGCACAAGTGTGGATGCTCTTATGTCCTGTATTTGGTTTCAACCATACCTATACAATTATTTTATCGACAACTATAATCAATCTTGACTATATTATCTTGCATTTGTAAACTTAGAATTGCCTATTTAAAACACAAATTTAACATTCAATTATCTATGCATGAACAATTTCAATATAATCCTGCCTTAATATACTTTAAAGTACTTATTTAAAAAAAAAAAGCATTGGGCATTATCCCAATCGCGCAATGCGCGTAAAAAAACTAGTATATATATATATATATATATATATATATATATATATATATATATATATATATATATATATATATATATATACTAGTTTTTTACGCGCATTGTGTGATTGAGATAATGCCCAATATTTTTTTAAATAAGTATTTTAAAGTATATCAATGCAAGATTATATTGGAATTGTTCATGCATAGATAATTGAAGGTTGAATTTGCGTATTTAAATAGGTAATTCTTCTCCCAAAGGTTGAGTCCTCAACCCCAAGGGCCCCCCACACTTCGGCCCGACAGAGCATTGTGGGAAGTTGTAAATCACGGTGACTCAATGGTTCAGTAGACAGGGCCAAATGCTGATACGCACAAGGAATCTGCCCACTTTGGACATAATTCTCGCACTGCCGCCGCCGAGGTTCAAACGTTGGTCTCTTCTCCCAAATACTACCCACTAAACCATTGAGCTAAGCCCGTGCGGGTTAAATAGGTAATTCTCAGTTTACAAATGCAAGATAATATAATCAAGATTGATTATAATTGCCAATAAAATAATTGTATAGGTATAGTTGAAACCAAATACGGGACATAAGGGAGAACACAAAATTAGGGCATAAAATATTAAATATATACTAATATTGTTTGAGGAGATTCCGACATTAGGATTTGTGGTTAAGTTCTATTAATACTTTAATATTAATAATAATAATAATAATAATAATAATAATAATAATAATAATAATAATAATAATTGTTTTAAAAAATAAAAAAATAAAAAAAATATAATTAAGTCAATCATATTAACTACTTGGGGGATTTATTGACAACAAGAGTATTCAAATCACACAACAAATTGAAGTGGGAAACTATCTCGCAATGTCCTTGTTTGGCAATCATCAATTAGCTCTTCAATATTAGTATATATTTAATATTTTATGCCCTAATTTTTATTTGCTCTCCCTTATGTCCCGTATTTGGTTTCAACCATACCTATACAATTATTTTATTGACAATTATAATCAAACTTGACTATATTATCTTGCATTTGTAATCTTAGAATTGCCTATTTAAATACGCAAATTTAACATTCAATTATCTATGCATGAACAATTCCAATATAATCTTGTCTTGATATACTTTATAGTACTTATTTTTAAAAAAAAACATTGGGCATTATCCCAATCGCGCAATGCGCGTAAAAAACTAGTAATAATAATAAGGGTCAAATAACCATATCTACTATCAAAAACTGTTCAATGCACACCTTAGTCTAAAGTAAGATCTAATTGGACATATTTACTTTTAAAATTTTGTACAGTTGCCATTTTTCTTTCCGTTTCTCAGGTAACACTTCCACAATGCTGACATAGAATTTAAATAAAAATAAATTTGTTGACTTTGTTTCATTGTTGACCTTTAAACTCATTCAACCTCAAAGAAAACAAAAACTCAATTATCAACATCAACCCGATAATAGTGCTTCTTGATTTCGATCAAATCTTTGAGAGCTCGAGAAGGATCATGGTGAACGCAAGTAAGTTTAGGGCAAACCTCAACTTGCTTGATCTCTGTCTCAGCTTCCATAACAGATTGTGACATACCCATTTTGTGAAGTTGCAAATTTTGATATCTTTAGAACCCCTTGTTGCATATTTCACCAACAAATCTATTTGCAGCTAATAGAGCATTGGGTGATAAAGTAATCACCTTTGCATCAGGATCTTGAAAACTCAGAAAAATAAAAATTTCTAAAAATTATTTTTTCTGATTGTAGTAAATCGAATACTTAGCTTTATAGTCAAACGGATTACCTGGCATTCCGGGAAGGCTTCGCTTTGTCTTGCTGGTTGCTTTTGGAGGAGTTGCTTGATTACCAGATGAAGAGACTGTACTTCGTCGGAACCGATGGAATCATTCACGGCGGAAGAGTTATCGGCATGGCGGTGCAACTGTTTCACTGTCCTTTGGAGTCGCTAAAAGGGGAAACTTTTGGACATCTACCAGTCAATCTTGCTTTACCCAACAACTAGCTCTGACCAACAAATAATTTCCAGAACCCGTGTCGCAGAATTAGCTCAAAGCTCAGTAGGTAATAAATTCGAGGGCTATCAAAGCCACCAGCAGGGGCCATATCAGCTCAGCATTGTTGCAAAACAGTGAAATTAAATCTTCAAGCAAATTGGTTTCCAAAGAAGAAAGTTTAAGCAAAATTTTGAAGATTTGGAGCTTAACAAAAATTTTGAATCTCAGACAAATTCTTGATTTCCCTGCCAAACTCCTAGAGAAACCAAGTGATGAGAACTCAAAACATAAGATAAAAGAGAAGTTCTACTCGTCGTGGTAGAGCTTTTGGCATGGGTGGGTCTGAAATTCTACTTCTTCAGAGAGGAGTATTCTGGCGATGATAGAGAAATGTAGTTGTCGGAGAAAACGAACTCATTGGAGTTTAAAATAGGATCAAAAGGTCCGGGAGAACAAAATTATGGTTGTTCAACCTGAACAAAAGCTCAACCACGTATTGGAGTTTCAAGCTGGTCATCCAATGTTTGTGGCTGCAAGAAGAAAGGCGGTGACGCTATACCACCAGAACCGTCCAAGGGGTCTGAAGATAGAGAATTTTGTTTTTTTTTTTTATTATTTTTTTTAACCCAGGTTTGAATGGGTTTAAAGGCCAACAAGGTGATAAATTAACAAGTCAGCAAAATCATTTTTATTTAAATTCTATGTCAGCATTGTGGAAGGGTTACTTGGGGGAAACCTGGATAAAATGTTAAATGAACAAAATTTTAAAAGTAAATATGTCTAATTCGATCTCATTTTAGTCCAAAGTGTAAATTGAACGGTCATTGATGGTAGACGAGGCTATTTGACCTTTATGCCTAATAATAATAATACTCAATGGCAAATATGTCATTTTCTTCTTTTTTCCTTTCCTTTTTTTTTTTTTTTTTTTGAAAGACCCTTTCATTTTGTATGGCTGATTTGCAATTCATATGGAGGTTATGAATTGCTATTCATTGAATTGGGGGAATTGTAAATCCATTGAATTACAATTTTCTCAAACCAAACAATGTAGCTTCTCCTTTCATGGAATTACATTAACATTGAATTTCAATTTATGCTAACAAAACACCCCATTAACTTGAAGTTATTCTAGAAAAATATATTGGTATAAAACATATAGTGAAAATATTTATACATAGATAGTATTTTAATGGATACTAAATAATATAATAATATAATTAGTGGCGGCTAAAAATTGTAAATTTTAGCATAATTTATTGGTTATATTAACATGGCGCTTGGTTTGCGAAATAGATAGAAAATAGAATAGCATTCTATAGAATGTGTCTATTCTGCCATTTTTTTTTTTTTTTGGTTCTAAATGAGGGGTTCAACCCGTGAAAGGATCCTACTAGGAATTCACATCAGGGCTCTGGTCCCTACCCTATCCTCCCAAATCAAGTCGTCTAGATATTGCGGTTGATCAACAACGAGCCTCGTCCCAAGTCCATGTTCCAGCGCCATTGATGCAAGCTTGTCTGCCACTTTGTTTCCACTTCTCATCACATGGATAAATTTTATATCCTGGAACACCTGCGCTTCCCTCACACATAGTCGCATAACATTACTCCCGGCACCCGTAGCCATGCACCCGATGATGCCCTTAATCGTTGCAAGAGAGTCGCTTTCCACCAAGACATTCCGGGCTTGGCGATCGGCGGCCATACGCAGTCCCACTAAGACTGCCCAAACTTCCGCTTCCTCCGCTGTACAAGTCCCTATGTTGTGTGTAACCCCGCTGATCCATCTCCCTTGATAATCTCGTAGCACTCTCCCACAGCCTGCTCTTCTACTGACCCCCTTGCAACAGCCATCCACGTTTAATTTCCACCATCCATGTTGCGGTTTCTTCCAAGTGGCTACGCACTCGCCCTGTTGAATGCCCACATGCATCGCTCGATGAGTGTTAAAAGCCACTTTCGTCTGGTTGTGTTGGTCTCTTATCCAAGCTATCTTCTGCTCCGTACTCATATGGCTATCCTCAAACACTCTGGCATTCCTCCACCTCCAACACCACCACATAGTAAGCCCGAAAATTTCCGGCCAATCCTCCGGAAATCCTAGCCGCTTATCCGCCTTAACGTTCATCGACAGCCACGTACTCCAATCCGTCCCCTGGAGCAGCTGTGTCGTCCGGCGCGGTATGAGCCTCTCCCATATGCGCGCTGCCTCGCATGCTCTGAAGATATGGTCCAAGTTTTCTGGAATGCCTGCACAAGAAGAACAAAACAAATCAGTTGTGAAGCCCCTTTTCGATCGTTCTACATTCGTCATGAGCCTCCCTTGTTTAACCAACCACATAAAGTGATTGACTCTGTTCGGGAGTCTAAGCTTCCAGATCCTCTGCCAGTCGTCATCTACGTTATCATCCCTCAAATTTCGCGTGATTGCATAAGCAGACTTTATGGAGAAACGACCATCCAGTTCCATGCTCCATCCCCAATCATCTCTCGCTTCGTTGTCATCAAGAACAACATACACATGTAGTTTAAGCTTCCAGCTGTCGTCCAAAACACCCTCCAGTCTTTCCCATCGCCACCCTCTTCCACTCTCCCAGTACTCAGCTACTTGGCCATATAGCTCCGTAAGCTAATTGGACGCAGCATAAAATCGTAGAGCCGATTGCCTTGAACCCATCTGTCCATCCAGAACCTTGTCCCCCAGCCATTGCGAACCACTTTCGTTAACCCCCTGTCCAGAATCCCGGTTGCACTGCAAAGTCCTCTCCAGGCGTTTGAAGCAATCCTGGGGACGTCCGCTCTCCATCGGCCATCTCCGAATCCATACTTAGTTCGGAAGACCTGCGCCCACAAGCTGTCTCGTTCTGTGAGAATCCGCCATCCAAGCTTCGCCATGAACGCAGAGTTCACACTGTTTAAACTTCGCAAACCTAGACCGCCAACTTCCTTGGGCTTCGTCACGGTATCCCATTTTACGAGACTTACCTTCCGTTCGTCCCCATGACCACCCCAAATGAAGCGTCTGGTAATCATCTCCAATTTGTTGCACACACCTTTTGGCAGTTGTGCGGTTTGCATGGAATACGTAGGAATTGCGCCCAAGACCGACTTGGCCAGTGTGACCCGCCCCGCAAAGGATAGAAGCTTGCCACGCCACCCTTCAAGCCTCGCTGTTACATGGTCAATTAGGCCTGAGAACGTCGCTTGCGTGACTCTGCCGTGCACGGATGGCATCCCTAGATATCTACCCAAATCCGTTGTAGCTGAAATATTCAGAATACTCTCGATATCTCTTGCAATGTCTGGCTTAGTATTCTTCGAAAAAAAGACATGTGATTTACTCAAACTGACTTTCTGCCCGGACGCCTCACAGAACCGCGCGAGGCATTACTGGATAACCCTGACCTGTTCCACTGACGCCTCCGAAAATAGAACCATGTCATCCGCGAAGCAGAGGTGTGACAAAACTGGACCTGACGGCGATAATTGGATTCCCGTCCATCGTCCATTAGTTACTTCGGTTGTAATGCTTTGACTTAACCGCTCCATGCATAGCACAAAGAGTGCTGGAGACATAGCGTCTCCCTGTCTTACTCCCCTTTCCGGTTTGAAGGCAGGTAGTCGGCTACCATTCCACGAAATGGACAAGGACGCCGTTCGTACGCATGTCATTATAAGACGTGAGGTAGCATCGTTAAAACCTGCATCAAAAAGAGTATCATTAATAAAATTCCAAGATAACCTGTCATAGGCCTTTTCTAAATCAATCTTAATCCCCATCAAGCCTGTATTTCCTTTTTTGATTCTCATGGAATGCATAACTTCCTGATAAATAAGCACGTTGTCCGAGATTTGCCTGCCTGATACAAAAGAGCTCTGACACGGTCCAACAAGCATTGGCAACACGGCCTTAAGCCTATTGGTTATCGTCTTGGTAATGATTTTGTACGACACATTGCACAAACTGATAGGCCTAAACTGTTTGATTGTTTCCGGCGACCCGACCTTCGGGATTAGGGTCAGGAGGGTGTCGTTCACACCATCGGGCAAAATTCCTGATTGAAATGCATTTTTGACCATCCTAAAAATGCTGTCCCCCACTGTATCCCAAGTCTTTTGATAAAAACCTGCATGTAAACCATCTGGCCCGGGTGCCTTCCATGGGCTCATGTCAGTCACTGCTGCGTGTACCTCTTCCTTTGTTACCTCCCTTTGGAAGCTGGCCCAGTCCACTTCGTCCAGAACCGGGAAAAAGCCCCTCACAGCCCGCGAAAGGTCCGTGCCTGTATCCTTTTTGAAGAGGTTTATATAGAAGTCCTGCACCAAATTTCGTAGCTCCTCCGTGTCAGTGATCCAAATGCCATTATCATTCTGCAGGCTAAGGACTTTATTTCGGGAGCGCCTCATCAATGTTGCCGCATGATAAAATTTTGTGTTTCGGTCTCCCGAGACTATCCATTCCTCACGCGATCGTTGGAACCATTTCAGCTCTTCTTGGTATAGAGTCGTCTCTAGCTCTTGCTTCAAATTCTTTTCTAGCGTGACAAGCCCCTTGTAGCGCGCACTAGTGTTAATCTTCTGGATCCCCCCGATCCGTGCCAAAAGAGATCTTTTCTTAGCTTCAATGTTACCAAATACATCCTTGTTCCATTCCGTTAGAGCCGCTTGTACTTGCTGGATGTTCTGCACTATGTCTTCATTGGAATGCCACGCTCGGTTTACCACCTCCGAGAAACTGTCATTAGTCATCCACGCAGCTTGAAATCTGAACTTGAACTCTGTGGGCCTGACGCCTTTAGCCGTTGTCTGAATAAGGATTGGTGAGTGGTCTGAGGCGATACGTGGCAGATGCCTTACCTCGGCTTCAGGGAAGCGTTGCCGCCAAGGCATATCACACAGCGCTCTGTCGAGCCTAGCCCCTTTACAGGTATTAGCATCCGCTCCTCTCACCCACGTCAGTTGCGGTCCCACGAAACCTAGATCCACCAAACCTTCCTCCTGGATCCAATCAACAAAGTCAGCACTTCGATGTGCATTGTAAGCGGTGTAGTTGAGAGTCTCATTGCAACAAGTTACTGTATTGAAGTCTCCCGCTGCGAGGCAGGGGTGTAGGATATTCCGTTGGTTCGCCCTAAGTGCACTCCATAGGCGCCGTCGCAGGTGTTGAGTCGGGCTGGCATACACCACTGCAAGCACCCATGGTGGACTACTGAGCTCCTTGACCTGTAATAAAATGAATTGAGGGTGAGTAAACTCTACAGTAATATCCAGAGGTTTATTCCAAAGAACCCATATTCCCCCGCTAAAACCTATAGCCTCCACTCGGACCCAATCATCAAAGCCGAGTTTGGAGCAAATATCATTAGCATGATCACCCGAAACTTTAGGCTCCACCAAGCCAATCAGATCTGGTTTGTGGTTCTTGAGAAGAGTTTTCAGGATTCGCTGGAAATTCCTCCCTCCAGCGCCCTGACAATTCCAAATCAAACTTATCATTAAATCAAAAGAAAAAACCAAACACAGAGAGATTCAGAAATGGTACACAGGCAGCGAGCTCAAGCGGACATTAATCCCGCTTCTCGCTATGTCCCTCAGCTCTTCCCTCCGCATCATTGTCCCCCTCCATTACGGCATCACCATCTTCATCAAGGCTTTCCGGCACATCTGAGTGGTGTTCCCCTGAATTCTCCAGGTTCATCTGTAAACTGCCACCATTCTCTTGGTCATAGTTTACTGTTCTAGTGCAGATATTGAGTCCCCCCTTTGATCCTCTTACTACCACATGTTCTTCCTCCTGTGCTGCTTTCCTATGTGCCCTGTTCTGACCTGGACGTTCACTCACATTCTGTGCATGGCATCCCTCATCCGTCTGCCTCATACTTCTCCTTTGGCTTCCGCTACGGTTATTCTTCGGCCTCTCCTCCTCTCGGTGCCTTGGCTCCTCCCTTCCATTGGGTTCGTTGAGGATTTGTCTTTCGTTTGCGATGACATTTGGTCGTCTTTCTCTCCCCCCGTTCGCTGCGGCTGCCCCATCCTCCATTTCCAATTCGCTGGTATTTCTCACTGGCTGCTCACCGTTCGCGGCTTCTGCTTCAATATTCACCTCCTCTGCCTCTACATACTCCCCGGCGTCCTCCTGAATCATTAACGGTCCAAATCTAGAATTTTGAACGCCACCCTCGCGATTGTCAGCTCCAACCTTCTGTCCCTCCGCCGGTCCCTTTTGCGTTCTTCCTCCCTGTCTCACGCCTGCTCTTGTTTTCCTTCATGGAGCGATCATCCAAGCCCCAAACGGTGCTGCTCCCACCTGGTTTGGTCGGGGTTCTTCCGGCTCAACCTGTACCGCCTGCGTTCTGATCGTCGTAGGGCATGCATCTGGAGCATGGCCGTAGACACCACATGTGAAGCACACCATGTGGATGCCTTCATAGGCCACAGATCTCACCTTACCTTTGTGGTTGAACTTGGATATCAATGGTTTCGTTATGTCCACTTCAACACAGATCCTCGCGAAGTAGCCCCGGGAAACCAGACTTGTTGCTTGGTCGACGCGGATTGTCCTTCCGATCTTGTTTCCTAGCTTGCGTAGGAATATAATGTTGTAATATTCTGCAGAGATACATGGGATCCTGATCCACACCAGCACCTTCTCTGTGGTATCCTCTCTGGGGTCAAAATCGGGCCTCCATGGTTTCACCAGCAAGTAATGATCCAGCACCATCCATGGTCCCTCAAACATGGCGAATTCCAGGTCCTCCACCGATCCAAATCGGACTAGGAAATAGTCATTGTCGATTGCGATGAGCTCCATACTCCCTTTCGGCTGCCACATAGATCGCAGCCTCCTTAGCAAATAAGTGTAGCCCACTTTCCTTCCCATGACCTTGATGATTAGCATTCTTTTGCATGCATTATCTTATAATTCGTACAAATTTTAAAACAGGTAGGCCCTGTTTGGTAAATGATTGTTAGCTGATTGGAGTTAATTAGAATGTATAACTAGTTGATAATATTAACTGATTGTAGAAATTTGTTTGGTAAATTAGCTGTTAGCGGATAACTGTTTTGTGTAATTTTTTTTTTCTCAAAAAATTAATTGAAAAAGTTGCTTTGAGCAGCTTTTTGAATTTTAGCATTTTGAATTTACAAAAAGCTAATTAACTAAAAATTTATGTTGATTTTTAATCAAATAAAATAACTGATAATGGTCAAATAAGTCAAAATTGACTTATAGACTGATTATTTTATCAAACATGGCCATAGTAAATTAGTAATAGTTTGGCCTTCTTCTTGATATTTTTTATTAATATTTTATGCTCAACTCTTACTTTACCCCTCCGTATATCATTATCATTATATTCATATAAAATTGAAACAAATTTTATTTATAAAATATTATGTGGACCAAAAAAAAAAAAACATCAACATATTATTATTTTCATTATGTTTTTTTTCTAATTTACTCAAGAATCTTTGATCTCTGCTTCATATATTCCCAATAGTGTTCTAGTTGCATTTTTGTTTCTTATATTCCCCATAGCCTGAAAATTATAGCTAAAAGAAACAACCACTTTCCATTGGGGTAGGTACGACCAATTTTCTACAGTCTTTCAGAAGAAACCTTAAGAACGAAACAAATTGACTTCTTCTATCATCATCATCATCATCTTCTTCTTCTTCTTTCTTCTTTTTCTCTTTTTCTTTTTTTTTTCTTTTTTAAAAAAATAAATTTATTATCTCCACTGGGTGTGAACCTATAACCTCTGATTTGGGAGAGCTACAATTATACCGCCTGACCCCAAAGTCTGATTTGGGAGAGCCACTGCGTGAAGCCTCTATATTTTGTTCTCATTATTTCGAGCCACACGTTAATACACGTAGTTGAAAAGTACCTCGAAATGATGATGGAGGAGTTCCTGAGGAGGACGAAGAAAACTTGTCCATATTTAAATATCCTGGTCGCTTATATGGAAGATGTAAGACAAGAAGACTAACCGATGCAAAGTATTTGGCAGCACATACTTATATATTGCTTAATTGTGAGGAAGTACAACCTTACATTGCGTAAGTTCCACATCAATCAATTAATTAATGATAGTTGAATCATTCGTGAGTTTATAATAGTGTTATATAAATTTACAGTTTATATGAAGAGATGTTGAAGGAACTTGATCCCAGGATAAGTGAGTTAGAACTTGCAACACAACTACAACAAAATTTTGGTTCTTGGTTTGAAAATTATGTAAGTCTTGTAGTCAACTACTTCTCTTGGTCCTAAATTATTTAAAAACCTAACTCTTATATATAACTTTTGCAATGGCACATGCACGCCAAAATGAAATAGAGAATAAGTATATATGTGATTTGTCAAAAAGGCCACTGAGAATTGTGAAATCGTATCCTGTGTATTTGTCAACGGGTATAGATTTCACACAGAGTCACATGGTGAGAATAAATTAACAATGAATAGTGGTGTTTGTGTAAGTAGCACATGTGATTGATTACTATGGCAAGTTGATGGAAATATTAGAAATTGAGTATACTACATTGCCAATTAAACGCACTGTCTTGTTCAAATGTGAATGGTATGACCCAACACCTAATGTTGGAGTTAAGGTTCATAACCGATATAATTTGGTTGAAATAAATCAACGAAGAAGGTTTAACAAATTTGAGCCATTTATTTTAGCAATGCAAGCTATTCAAGTTTGTTTTGTTCTGTACCCTAGTATGAGACAAGATAAAGTTGATTGGTTAGTTGTGTGTAAAGTTCAACCTCAGGGATGGACAGAATCTTTCAAAAAGGAAAATGGTCAAACGAAAGATACTGCTTTTCAAGAAAAAGAAGTTAAAGAAACTGAAATTGCAAGTACTGTGGATGATGATTCTTTCGTTAGGTTAAGTGATGAAAATGTCGAATATATCGACATTCCTGACGACAATTCAGATAACAATGAAGAGAAAAATGATGAGCTTGAATTTGACTCTAGTTCGTCAACTAATGAATTGTGATGATGATGATGGTGGTGGTGGTGGTGGTGACGACGACGACGACGACGACGATGATTATGAAAATTAGAGTTTATGTAGGTAATTCAAAAGTAATGCTTAATAAATATATATTATATGAAACACTAATATATATTACATTTTTCATATTTTTGTAGGAAAGATGCCAAGAGGACGTGGAGGACGTGGGGGTCATTTTGCAGCTAGACTTTTGCCAATAAATGTTCTACCACGTAAAGGAAATCACACATCGGCATCGGCATCGGCATCAACATCAGCATCGATTCCCATAGTAGCATCAAGACCCTTATCACCATCCACGCCATCTACAACTACTAATAATGGTCAGGCTAGACAAGATGCTATTAGGCAACAAGGTGATATGATTGACTCTGTACGAGTGCATGGATGCCTACGAATTGATGTTCAGGATAATATGTAAGTTAAATTAAAATGAAATTTATTATTTGAATATATATTAATTTTTTAAATTCTGACTTTTCCTTTTTATAGGTGTTGGTTTTAGGGTTTTTGGGCCCAGGGAGGTCCAAAACAACCTTAGTTGGTGGATTCACCTTTCATATGCGGCTTATAGAAAAATAAGTAAGACAAATATAACTCACTTTTTGGGCGATGCCAAGCCAAGACTTTCACTATTCTTGTAGCTATTGGTACATAGTATATGGCTATTTTGTACATGTAATATTGTGTAAGAATAAAGCTATCTTTGATACCGAGAGATGGAGTATGCTTCTTGGTGGAATGGTGGTGGAGCCTTCTCATATGGAGTCTTCTTCATGCGTGGAAGAGTGGTGGAGTCTTCTTTGTATATTGTGGAATGAAGCCTTCTTGGGAGAGTAGTTGTGGGAGAGTGATATGTGGTCTTCTAGTGTGTAGGATATTTAGTATGATATTTACTTTGGGAGGTTATGGATAATAATAATAATTGGGTAATAAGTGGGTGGTTAGGAATGGTGGGGTAGATAAATAGGGTAGTAAATAGGAGATTAATATGGGTTAACGGCTAGTTTAGGCCGACCTTCCACCCGTGCCGACCTCCGGGTCGAGCCGACCCCTCGGTTTGGCCCATATCTATTCTTGGGCTTGCTCCATTTTCTTCTTGGGCTTCTCTTCTTCTTCTGGGCTTGATCTCTTTTCTTCTTGGGCTCCGAGCCCACGGGGTTCACACCCCATCAACTAGTCCCTCACTTTTCTATGTCTCGCACTCAGCAGGGCATGGGAAAGTATATTGTCTCGCCTCAAAATTCCCTTTATTAGCCGCCTCGATTTTTGCCGACTCTTTATTCTAGATTCCAAACTACTCCATCCTCATGACTTCTCTTCGTTTGCCATATGATCGACTGCTTCAGTGGATGTGACCCTCTTGCTTCGAGCCCATTTTTTCTTTAGCCGTCGAAGTGAATCTCGGTTGTAACTTTTTCTTTCTCTAATAAACTTCTAAGGGTTCGGACCCTCGATTCCTTCTTTATTCGCCAAGTCCCTCAGTCGAGGCGACTCTTCGGTGGTAGCGTCTTTTCCCTCTATGAAATGTCTAAGGGACAGAACCCTGGTTTCTTTTCTTTTTCCTTTCTCTTTCTCTTGCCGAGTCCCTCAGTCAAGGCAACCCCTGTAGGCTTTTCCTATGAAACGTCTAAGGGTCCGGGCCCTTGTTTCTTTCCTCTTTTCTCGCCGAGTCCCTCAGTCGAGGTGACCCCTGTAGGTTTTTTCTTGGAAACGTCTAAGGGTCAGTGCCCTTGTTTCCTATTGTTTCTCGCCGAGTCCCTTAGTCGAGGCGAACCTTTAGGCTTTTCCTATCTTAGAAACAGTTTAGGGTCAGTGCCCCGTCGTTTCTCTCTTTTCTCGCCGAGTCCCTCAGTCGAGGTGACCCCTGTAGGTTTTTTCTCGGAAACGTCTAAGGGTCAGTGCCCTTGTTTCCTATTGTTTCTCGCCGAGTCCCTCAGTCGAGGCGACCCTTTAGGCTTTTTCTATCTTAGAAACAGTTTAGGGTCAGTGCCTCGTCGTTTCTCTCTTTTCTCGCCGAGTCCCTCAGTCGAGGTGACCCCTGTTGGCTTTTTCTCGGAAACGTCTAAGGGTCAGTGCCCTTGTTTCCTATTGTTTCTCGCCGAGTCCCTCGGT